TCGCAATCGCAATCGCAATCGCAATCGCAAGCAACAGCATACACACAAACCTAGATTGACTACCAAGCTAGAGAAGAGGAGAGAGAGACAGGGCGAGAGAGAGAGCGAGGGGGAGCGAGTCTAGGCCGTAGCAAACGGATTGGGTGCGGACCACGCGCCTTGGCCCGGCTTGGCCGACGAGTCCATGGGATGCGCGAGGCTCGAATCAGCCGCATCCGACATGCTGAATGCTCCCACCGCCGGTGCGGTCGTCGTCGCCGCAGCAGCGCTGCTGCCCGAGTAGTCGCCGTAGGTCTCCTTGGCATGACGCTCGAGGATACCGGCGAGCGGACCGAGTAGCCTGGTGAATGCGCGCTCCGACATGGTCACCACGCGCAGCTTGGTGGTCGCAGCCGCCGCCGCCGCCACGGTGGCAGCACGCGGCGCATTGTTGAGCAGCGCCAGCTCGCCAAAGTAGTCGCCGCGCGAGAGCTTGCCCACCACCTCCTCGCGCCCCGCCTGCTTGGTCTTGCGCACCTCGGCATCGCCGTCCACAATGATGAAAAACTCCGAGCCGCGTTCGCCCTGCGCGATCACCGCCTCGCCCGGTGCGTACTCGCGCAGCTCGAGGCTGTCCGAGATCTTGGCGCGTTCCGCCGCACTCAGACGCTCGAAAAGCGGCACGTCCATCAAAAACTTTTCGTACAGCGCACGGCGCCTCGAGTTGGTCTCCATCAGGATCGAGCGGAACGTGATGCGGTCCAGCGCCCACAGCGTGCACGCCGACGTCGACACCACCGTCGCTGCGCGCGGCTGCGCATACAGCAGCGCCAGCTCGCCAAACGACGAGCCGGGACCGTACGACACCTTTTTGTCGCCCAGCGCCGAGCTGCCACCCGCCGCCGCTGCCTCTGCCTCCGCCTCGCCATCTGGGCCGCCGCGATTGGGGGCGCGCACGTACACATCCAGCGTGCCGGACTCGACGACGTAAAAGTAGTCGCCCTGCGCGCCCTGCTCGATCACGGTCACGTTGGCTTCCACCTTGACCTCCTTCATGGCGAGCAGCACGTCGCGGTACTGGTCCTGCTCGAGGTTGCGGAAGAGCAGGTTGTTGCCGATCGAGCCGCGGATGCGCTGCATGTGCTCCTCGGACTTGGGGATGACCGTCTTGGGCAGAGGCGTGCCGTCGTGCTCGGCGCCCGCGCCGGACGGAGCCATGCTCTCGGCCGACACCGACGTGCGTCGACCCAGGTTGAACGTAGGCGGGATCAGTGGCGTGGCGGCGCTCGACGCGATCGAAGATGGCAGATTGGCAGCAGCGGCGGGTGCCGAGGCGGACGACGACGCGTTGAACGTCGACGAGCCAGCAGCCGGTGGTGCGGCGTAGGCGGACTCGGGCGATTGCGAAGCGTCCATGGGCACGGGCTCGGTGGCGGAGCGGCTGGACGAGGCGAACGGGTCCGAGTTGAAGATCGAGGCGCGCTGCGTGGGCGACGCGAGACCGGGCGGCACGCCGCCAAAGTCGAGATCCGAAGGCCCTATGGAGTTGTCCAGATTGGATGCCGAGGTCGACGAGCCGGAGAGATGCTGGCGACGCTGCTGCTCGAGCCTGGCGTTGAACCAGTTGGCGCAGAACTGGAGCGCATCCGCAGGTCGAGACGCAGCGACGTCGCGGCTGAGCTCGTTGAGCAGCGCCGTGTAGTTGGCAGGCAGCGACATGGTTGCACGCGCTCTTTCGACTTGGAAGCGATGGGGCTGTGGGATCAACAGCGGTGAGGCGTGTGCTGTGAGATGGTGATGGTGGTGATGGTGATGGCCGTATCAAAGGGTTCGATGGCGGCTGGTGTGAGCGGGAAAGGATGGACAGTGCGCACTGACACTCGGCGCGGCTCATAGGCTCGCGGTTGGTCCGCCGCCACGAGCTCAACTGGCAGAAATGCGGAAAATGGCGAGAATCCGCGCGAGCAACCAACGCATTTGGCAGCTCAACTCCCAATGCACACCTACACCAACCAGCCTTCACTCTTTGCATACACACACTCGGGTGCATACGAAGCAACGCAGCCCAGACAGGACAAGGCTGCCTTCGAGGCTGCCTTCGAGGCTGCTCTCGAGGCTGCTCTCGAGGCTGCATTCGAGGGTGAGCGTCCAGCCAGTGTTGCTCCGCATTGAAACGTGGCTTGGCTGCGCATTCGAGGTCGAGCTGGGCTGGCCGCCTTTCCGCATCCGTTGTTGGCGGAATTTGTGCGCACAGACGCTCTTCGTTCGCGATTTCTCGTGCGGCAGATTTGCAATGGTGTCAATTGGACGAGGATGTAACACTGCAAATGCGGCGCGAAAGTGATCGTTAGTCGGAAGCGATAGGGTGGAATTTCCAGGCCAGAACGGCTGCCAGAACTCGTCGTCGCCAGTCGAGCAAGGCACGAGGCAGATGGACAGTGTCGGTGCGAAGCGTTGAACCCAACGCACAGTTGGTCGCTCAACCCTTGGCAGTGGCAGATGGGCAGCGCGCCGTCACGATCATCTCGCCACCACCACCATCCGTCTTTACTTTCCCCCTCTTCGCCCACACACATCATTCACAATGGCTGCTCGTGCTGCTGCTGCTGATCTTGCCAAGATCTCCAACCTGGGACTGGGCAAGAACACGCTCGCCCAGATCTCGGCGTTCCGCAAGCGCGCGGACGACGCCAAGCGCCAGCTCGCCCAGCTCCAGCAGCAGAAGACCGACGTCGACTTTGCGCACTACAACAAGCTCATCCGCAACAAGGACGTCGTGTCGCAGGCGCAGAAGATCCTCGCCGAGTTCAAGCCCGTCACCTACGACGTCCAGGCCCAGCTCAAGGCCATCGACGCCTTCGAGTCCAAGGCTGTGCGTATCTGCCCTCCTTTCCGACATTTGTTGTTCAGTCCTCGCACGCATCGTCGCATCGTCGCATCCGCATCGCATCGCATTCACCAAACGTTCCATCGCATCGCATCTTCCGACACAAGCGTGCATCCACTCGATTCCGCATCGGCACGCCCGAGGCGGAAGCTCCCCGACGCGCACCCTCCCCGGCTCGTCTGCTCGCTTCACACCGTCGCTCTCGGCATCTCCGCCCCGCCGCTGCTGTGCTGTGCAAACACGCTCGCGCTTTTGCACACGGAAAAGAGAGCGCTATCGTCGGATCCAGAACGCACGTCTTGAGAGCCCCGCCACACCCATCTACTGCCGAAGATCAGCAGGACCCACCAACACACAGCGCCAGCCATCACCGCACTTGCTCGGTATAGCCGTTTGCCGAAGCTGACGATGGTCGGCTGCGCCGGCGCTGTGTCCAAGCGGCTTGGCAATCGCGCGATTCCTCACCTCGGCCCACAGCAAATGTTGCACCGATTCTCACATCGATATGGATGAATCCTGGGGCTGCGATTCGACTTGCAACTCGGCGTACGATGCGACGTGCGACTTGACCTTCGACCCGGCTTGATAGATGCGACGATCGACTTGTGTGGACTGATTCGCGCCAACCGGGCCCGTGCACCTTGCCGATGCGACATACTGACCCTCTCTCTCCTCCACCCTTTGCATGTATAGGTCGAGCAAGCGCAGGCTACCGCCTCCAAGATCGAGGCAGAGCTCAAGGACCTCAAGGCGACGCTCAAGAACATCGAGGAGGCACGACCGTTCAACCAGCTCAGCGTGGACGACGTGGTTGCCGCACGCCCCGAGATCGGCCGCACCGTCGACGAGATGGTCAAGAAGGGCAAGTGGACCACGCCAGGCTACGACGAGAAGTTCGGAAGTGAGTCTTAACAAACCCTTGACCCCGCCAAGCTGCACGAGAGACCATCCGCTGACACCTTTTGACTTTGTGTCACCGCCAGACCTCTCGGCCATCTAAGCCTGCCCGAACCCTGGACGTGCTGTTGGAAGTTAGACCGGCAGCCCGTCGTCATGCACACTGCGCAATGCTATTGAGAAAACTAGAGCCGGGTAGTGAGCAAGTGCGGACAGTGACACGCTTGTGAGAGTGTAACGTCGTTGAAGCGCGTATGTGTTGGTCTAGCTGGACTTGCAAGTCGCGAGCTGTGCAAGCTGGTGTGGTGCATGGATGCATCGCAGCGGGCGTGCGGAGCGGGCGTCGAGAGCCGAGATCGGACGGCGGCCATCGGAGCGGGCGACTGCAAAGTGGTTCTCGTACGGCTTTGCCAACCTACCAGATTGCGAGTCAATACATTGTCGGAAGGTGGCTCTCTAACATCGAATGCCGAACCAACCTCGGCCGAGCTTTTGAGCATATCACGTGCCCAAATTGCGGGAAAAATACACTGGTGTAGTGCCTGTGTCGACCCCCCAACCGTCGAAGCGGTCATTCGGCGGGCTCTCAGTCTCCGCCTCGCTCCATCACCGCGCTGGGCTGCCCTGATCTGCGTCTGCGCGCGCCAAAGCCAGCGGCAGCTGAACCTGTCCGAGTCGAGAGCCTGGCCGGGGCCTGGCGAGGGATGCGAGGCCTTGGCTGATATCGCGCTCGGCCAGCTTTGGATCTTCTCCACCGTCATCCACCAAATCCATCAAGGTAAGTCGATGCACTATATCCGCGCATCACTATCCGGCACAGCACACACCGCACACGCGAGCAGTCACAGACATCGCCCCAACCAGGACATCGTCACCACCAGCACAGTCGACACCGACCAGGAGAAAACGTTGCAGAGTAAAAGCGATCATCGGTCCTGTTTTTGGCACTTAGGCGAGGCAGCAGATTGGAACATGATGTCAGACAGGATACAGATCGGGTCTTTGGTGGGATGGGCCGCTCGTCGGTCAGGGTCAGGGAGAGGCATCATTCGTCGCAGAGCATGACGTTCAGACCTGGGACGGGGATCACCAGCATGCACCGACCAGCCTCGCTCGTTTCTGCGTGCCGAATCGCGATACGCTACCTCCCGTTGGAGCGCATTGTACAGCCGCACGGTGTTTTTCGCGCAGGCTGCAGCCATCCGACCCACCGCAGCGGAGGTGGATTCACATGGGGTCATGCGCCGCTTCAGCCGTTGCCAACGACCATGTTCTCGCGACGCACGCCCACTCGACCTTTGATCCGTCGACCGCCTCGCGACTGGCCGCACCAACACGTACTACGCACCGCTCATGGAGACGACACCTACGCCCGCCCTAGCATCTCTGCCGCCGCATCCGCCACGTCTACCTCACGCTTAGTCGACTTGAAGCGAATACGTGTTGCTGTGCCCGCGGTGATCGCATTGTCCATCATGCCTCCAAGCAAAGCTGACCCAGGCGCACCGCATCCTGTTCTGCGTGCCTGTTCTCTACAGATGCCGCCCAAGAAAGCTGCCATCGCCGCCGCGGCGTCCAAGTCTGCCAAGAAGAAGAAGTGGTCCAAGGGCAAGGTCAAGGACAAGGTAGGTTTGCGCACCAGCTCACGCTTGATTCTTGAGTGCGATTTGCTGACTTTGGAATTCTGTCTGATCCTTGGCGATGAGTAGGCCCAGAACATGGTTGTTCTCGACCGTCCTACGTACGACCGCATCCTGAAGGAGGTGCCTACGTTCAAGATGATCTCGCAGTCGACGCTGATTGACCGCATGAAGATCAGCGGCTCGCTGGCGCGCGTTGCCATCCGCCACCTGGAGCGCGAGGGCCAGATCAAGCGTCTGGTGCACCACCACGGCCAGCTCGTTTACACCCGTGCCTCGGCCGAGTAAACAGCTCCCCTTTGCGTTAGGTTCTCAGCATGTATCACAACCCCACCAACCACACACACACACACACACCCCAAAAAATGACAGTCCACCCCAAGGCTCGGTAGAGTCCGACGGTAGGGTTCTAACTTT